GGTGGGTGTTTTAAAGTTTTTTTATCCCCCCCCCCCCCCCCCCCCGCCAAAAAAAAAAACTTCAATTGCCTTTCCTTAGGAGAAACGTCAGATGGAGTGAGTAAATCAGTTCATAAAGTCTTTGCTTCCATGCTTGGAGAGACTGAAGATGATGATGAAGAAGAGGAAGAAGAAGAGGAGGAGGAGGAAACACCTGAACAGCCCACTGCAGGCGATGTATTTGTGTTGGAGATGGTTCTCAATCGTGAAACAAAAAAAATGATGAAAGTAGGTTATTTTTGGTGTCTATAAGGAAGTGACATGGTTATTAAAAGGGCATCTTTCAATACTAAGGAAATAGTTCAACAGTAGGAAAGGAAATACTATGAGTCAACTACTGTCATTCATTACTTCTGCTTCCTTTTGGAGTGTTTTTATGGAAAACCTTGACTACTTCATGTGTCAAAATGTTTTGTGGTTTTGCTATTGAGAGATCCATAGTATAACTCAGTATTTTTTTTAAGTGTCATTTTGTAATTTATTTTCATTCTGTAAACACATAAACAACTTTCAGCATGATTATGTACCAAAATCATGATTTTAGTAACTATATTACAGTTAATTCTGTAATAATAATAGGATTCAAAATATTTTTGCTACACAGAAAAATGATATGCATCTTTCTTTTCAAGGATTGCTTTAACAGCCATTTGCTCCTCGGACAGACCTAAATTACTTCTCTAAGTTCAAAAAGGAGCTTTGGCTTTGGTTTAGGGAAAAGCAAACCTTTACAGTAAGTGTCAAATTCTATAATCCCTTGGACTCCTTGGTTCAGGTTTCCTTTCTTTAATTCTCATCTACAAAAGTCCTAGGACATGTCTGATGATGTCAGCTCTCTCCCATAACACATAGTAGCCATTTAATCACTAGTAGCATTAAGTATGGAGTCATAGCTCCCTTAGATAAGAAAACCTTGCTTCCTCATTTACTTGCATGAAAATCGGGCTCCTCCCTTTCTAAGGAACCTGAAGGGAAGCGTAAGCTAGGCAAGAATCCTCTGGAGCTCAGAAAGCTTGTCACCAGTTTGTACTTAATGGAAGTCAGTGATGAGCAAGATGAATCAGGAGGATTCATTAGTATCTAAGGGAGATATGACTCCATACTTAACTCAGTATTTTTTTAACCAAGTTTATTCTGATAAATTTCAAAGAAGGACCTTCCTGACCATTTGATTTTTGCTCTCTTTGTATATTGTACTTTGAACTTTGAATTGTAGGAAGGTTTTTGTTTCATATTCTGTTTTTACTTTCTTTGATGCTTCTCTTTAAATATTTTATTATTTTTATTTTTTATTTTATGTATATGAGTGTATTGCCTGCATGCATGTAAGTACACCCGTGTTGTACAGTGCCTGTGGAGGTCAGAAGAGGGCATCAGATCCCCTGGAACTGGAGTTACGGATGGTTGTTAGCTGCCATGTGGGTGGTGGGAATCAAACCCAGGTCCTCTGCAAGAGCAGACAGTGCTCTTAACTGCTGATCCATCTCTCTCATCTCTGATGTTCCTCTTTAGAAAGGATCATAGAATAATTTTGTTCTTTCCTACCTTTGAATTTTAGTTTTCTTTCTGCAATTAGATTTAAATGTTAAGGCATCTGAGTTATAACTTAGTATGTAGTTCTGAGTTTAGAAGATTAAAAAGTTCAAAAGGGAAATTTCCATTTCATTATGTTCTATATAAATATGTTTTGAATTGAAATCTAAGCTTTTAATATATTTTAATCTTCAAGTCATTTTTCTTCTATACAGGAGAAAAGGCCTCGGAGTAAGCTTCCCAGAGCTCTGAGAGGGCTCATGGGTGAAGCTAATATTCGCTTTGCTCGGGGAGAACATGAAGAAGCAATATTGATGTGCATGGAAATCATAAGACAAGGTATTTTCTGTGGGGACCTTATTGATAATAACAGTTTAATGGTCTGACTTAAATGGGGAAATACTCCATTGTACTATTATTTGTAAAATATGTTTAGAAGTAAGAGGTAATTGTGCTAATAATAACGTGCCACTTTTCACATTGAATAGGCCCTATTAGAAAGTGAACAAAGGGTGTAATTCAGTGCAAATCAGTAATATCTTTTGAGCTTTTGAACTTCTGTGCACTCTTCTTTTTAAGTAGTCGTGTTAAGACTTTAGGCTTTTGTGCTATTAATCTTTTTATATATTTTTTAAAATATTATATTATTTTTATTTTATGTGTATGAGTGCTTTGCCTGCATGTGGGTAGGTGCACCTGTGTCATGCAATGTCTGTGGAGGTCAGAAGAGAGAGTCAGATCTTAGCTGCCATGTGGGTGCTGGCAATTGAACCTGGGTACTCTGCAATAGCAACCAGTACCCTTAACTACTGAGCCATCTCTCTAGCCCCAATCGTTTTATATTTTATCAGTCAGTCAGTCTGTCTGTCCATTCATCTGTCTGTTTCTCTGTTGTGATATTGGGGATTGAACCTATAGCTCTAAGTATCTGGGTAAGTGTGTAAGTGCCCTACCAACTGAGCTACATCCTCAGCCCTATTAATCTCTTTTTTAAAATGGCAACTATATTATGTTAAAACCACCTGAAGAATTTTTTTATTTTAATTTTTCAGATTAGGTAGTGCTAAATTATTTTAATCTAGTTTTTGGGATAATACATTTAAACTTGTCATTTTATCTCTCCACTCAATGATATATCTTAGACATATTGAAGGACATCTTCAGAGATGACTTTTGACCAATTGTTGCGTGCATCTTGTTGCTTTCCGGGTGCTGTCAGTTGCTCTGCAGAGTGACTTGTGTAGTTGTCAACAATACAGAGAACTTCTAGTGTATTCTTTCAGTATTTTGGCATTTTCTTTTAGTTAGACTTGGTCCTTTTAGATATCTTGTTATTTCCCAGATTATTCATTAGGGTAATTTGTGGCCACTACTTTTTTTTCCTTATTCATCAGAAATAAGGTTAACTGATATTTCATTTGGTTCCTATTTTCTAAGATTATCTGGTCCTTTATTTCAGCTTACAGTTGTTGGATTTGGACAATAGTCTTTGACTTTAATCTCTAGCAGTCTTTGAGGTTTTTTTTTTTCTTTAGAAACAATATTTCAGAAAGAAAGATGAAACACAAATTTTATATCCTATACTGAAGTGCTGTTTATGTATCCTGCATGCATTTGTCCCCTATGGTGCAGAAGCTAAATAGTGAAAATTCAATCCTACTGATGTAACTGATGCTTATTGGGGTGAAGTTGCCAAAATTTTGAGCCATATTTGGTTTAGTAAAAGAGATTTTCACAAGGAAAGTGTAGTAGAAAGTAGTTTTCATAAAATTATATTTTGTTAAAAGAAAATAGTGCTTTAAAAATGAAGGTGGGTATGGTGGTGCTTACCTTTACTCTTAGAACGAAGGAGACTGAGAAAGGAGGATCATAGTTTGTGGCCAGCCTGGGCTACATAGTGAGTTTGAGGTCAGTCTGAGCTATGTAGCAAGAATCTCAATAGAATAAAACAACACCTCCCAAAAGAACCGACAACAACAAAAAATAAATGCATATGAAAAAATTATAATATTAGTATTTATTCTAGGTTCTAATAAATAGATTTTATAATTCTGTTAGAGTGATTTAGAGTTTAGATATTGGGAAAAAAGATCTGTAGTTTGAACTGCAGGATTAATTTCCAACTTTAGTCTGTTCCCTTAGGCAGTAGAATTTAATTTTTAATTTCTTTTCTAGCTCCTTTGGCTTATGAACCATTCTCTACTCTTGCCATGATCTATGAGGACCAAGGTGACATGGAGAAATCATTGCAGTTTGAATTGATTGCTGCACATTTAAATCCCAGTGACACAGAAGAATGGGTTAGACTGGCAGAAATGTCTCTGGAACAAGATAATATTAAGCAAGCTATTTTTTGCTATACTAAAGGTAATTAAAATACTTTCTTGGTAGATGGAGAGAAATTTTTCTTATTTGACTAGGTGTTATTTAATAGGTTGTTAATTGCATTTGTTCTTTCAGGTTATGATATTGGCTCAAATCTGTTTGTTTCTTATATTCTGTTATAGCATAATTATCTGGGTCCCTCTGTTCTCATGTTTATCTGTGACTACTTAGACCATGACCCTAGTACAGCACAAAAGTTGGTTACTGCACAATACTTAGAATTTTCTACCAAGGTCGCTGTTGGTTCCAAGCTGTTACTTATGTGACTTCAGTGACCAAAGGAGGATTAAATGTGGGAAGTCAGGTCTGGTCTTAAATCAGCCCAGTCAAGAGTTTCTGTTGATAGATTTATTCTAGAATAATTTCCTTGTTTCCAGTGGGGGAATTAAAGTGCTTATTAGACACTTTATTATGTGCTTCTTTTTAATAAATGTGTAATTTTTATTCCCCTTCTTTTTTTTCTAGCTCTTAAATATGAACCTACTAATGTCCGTTACTTGTGGGAGAGATCAAGCCTTTATGAACAGATGGGCGATCATAAAATGGCCATGGATGGTTATAGGCGTATTTTAAATCTTCTGTCTCCATCTGATGGAGAACGTTTTATGCAGTTGGCTAGAGATATGGCAAAGTAAGTTTGAAGTGAAATGTGCACACACACACACACACACACACACACACACACACACCTTTTTATTGGTCACTTTGCAAATCAGAGTTACTTGAAATAGCATATTCTTTTCATTGAGGTTCAAAGAAATATTTTGCCTACTGTGTTTTTTTTTCTTTTTTATTTAGTGCTTTTTTGGTTTCTTAGTCAACTGTGTGATGACTTAGAAATTTTGTATATAAGATTTCCAATGCTCAGAAGCTGAAAAATGAAACTTGTTCTGGAAAAACAGGTTTTTATGATTTAGTGAAAGTTGTATATATTTGTAATGTTTTTTAAAAGATTTTATTTTTATTTTATGCATATGAGTTTTTTGTCAGCATGTGTGTGTCACATGTGTGCTTGGTGTTCAAGGAGGCCAGAAGAGGGCCTAGCTATCTTGATTTGGGCATATTAGGATTAACCCCATTAATTCTACTATTTACATTCTGATACTGCTTAACTGTGAACTGCACCTCACTCTCTCGGGTGGATTATATAAGAGTAGTAGAAGTATTTTTAGGCGGTTTAGTGAGGCAAGGCAACTCTTAAGTTGATCCCCAATGGTATACCATTAGTACTGAAGGTCTTCAATTATCTGCAGTTCATTAAATTTGTAGCTATTGCAGTGGTTTGTCTGATAGGCTTGAAGAATGAGTAGGTGGCTAGTGATGATAAATTTGTTTTCCACTTGTTGTATATATATTTTTGTTGGGGACGATGTGGCAATGGCCAGTTCTATCATTGCCATACAGTTTTTCCTATGTAGGATTTTGGTACTGTAACTTGTGATTGATTGGGTTTTCTCTTTGGCCTCATTTTCCCTCCAGAAATATTGAATATAATATACTAGGCATTGTATAAGAGACCAGAATGTCCAGTATTGGACAGATATTAAAAGTTCTGTGCCCTCACGGAGCTTACAGTCCAGTGAGAGAGGTAGGCAATAAGCAAATAAACAGCTAAATATTCAGTATGTCACATTGATAAGTGTTACCAAAAAAAAAAAAAAAAACTAAGGCAGGAAAAAGGGATAGAAATAGAAGTTATGGGGTGTGTGATTTTAGAAATAGGATGATTAGAGGAGGATTCAGTTCCTTGCATTCTGGTACTATTGATTGAAGGAAACCAGTTCTTAGGGAAGAGTATAAGTTATGCTTAAGGAACAAGATGGAAGGTGACACATTAAGGTAAGCACAGCAGAGAGGTTTCAGGAACATATGAGTCACCCTTTCTAAGGTATTGTAAAGATGTTGGTTTTTACTCTGAATGAGTTTGGAAGCCATTTAAAGGGTTTGAGTAGAAAAATGGTATGATTTGACTTAAAATTTAAGTACATCAATTTTGACTGTTCTTTGAGCAAAGGGAAGAAACAGGAAGGCTAGTTAGAAAATTATTGCAATGATTCTTGGAAGGGAAAATCATAGCTTGGACCAGACTAGAAACAGCAAAGATGGGGAGAAGTAATCAGATTCTGGACATAGCTTAAAGGTTGGGCTTAAAGGAAGTTCTAAGGAGCAACTGAATCCTGAGGTACACCAGCATTTAGAAATCAGGAGAAAGGAAGACATAGCCAGGAGATGAAAAAGAAGTGTCCAGTGCAGTAGGAAGACAATGAGAACATGATGTTCCAGAATTTTATTGAAGAAAGCACTTGAGTGAGGTAGGGTGATCAGCCATGTGAAATACTATAGATAGATCACATGAAACAAGAGCTGAGATTTGGCATTGAGGTTTGGCAACCTGGAGATCAGCTTTGGCAGAGTAGCCATTTTACCAGTGGTCCAGTCTGGGCTGGATGCTGCCAGATTCTTGGTCTCCTATCTAAAGAATTGAAGATAAGGGCTCTTACAAGTGAGGAAAGGAACTCTATTCAAAAGCAAAGCAAAGATCAGAAAGAAATCTATTGCTAAGAGTAGCTAGCTATATGAGTGAGAAGGTGCTCAAGGGGCCTGTTACTGTTTGAGGCTTCCTTTTGGGGGGTTCTAAAGAAGCAGTTTGGAGGCTAAGGGACATAATTTGGGTAGTTCTCTATTCTGACTGACTGATTGGTCACATATTCGTTTTTCTTACTGTACATGTCCCTTGCCATAACACACCTGATTTTAACCATATGCATACCCACTTATGTATAGGCTTAAGATAGTAAGTAGGAGATTTCTTCATGAAAGTTTACTTGAGGACACAGTTTCATCTTGCTGCACCTGACCTAAAATGGGTTCAGGCTGGATCAGCCCTTCTGTTCTTTACCCAGAAACACTGAGAATACATTTGAATAGCAGCTGTCTAAATTGATTGTTAGGGGAGGAGAAGTTCATTCCAGAAGAATTGGTGGTGTTTTACATAGGGAATGAGCTTTAGAAAGTGAAATATGTGAAATTATGACATAACTAATACATCATGAAATTACACAATGTAGTTTCCCTGGATCAGCTCTGATTGTGGTTTTATATTTCACAAATAGGAATTTTTGCCATTATTAATAATCTGAATTTGGGTGTGGTGGCACACACTTTTAATCCCAGGACTCAGGAGGTAGAGGCAGGTGGATCTCTGTGAGTTCCAGGCCAACCTGGGCTACAGGAAGATCCTGTCTCAAAAAGACAGAAAAAAAAAAAAAATCCAAATTTTAACCTTGGGGCAGCCCCAGCAGCTAATGGCAGAGCCAGCCCCCATTTTGAGCAGGCTTTGTCCTGTGCTGTGCTCAAAAAAGGCAGCAGAGGCCAGGCAGGGGACGTTCTGGGGGTGCAGAGTCCACTTGCACCCCAACATCCACAGACCCAAAAAACACCCCCATGGAGGGGCCACAAGCAGGAGTGACTTTTATACCTCATCCTTGTTCATGTGAAGAAGCTTGAGCTAGGCCATATTTAGTCTGAACAGAAAGAGATCTCAGGGCCAAACCGATAGGAAACCAGGCCACCTCGCTGTGCTGCCTCTCCTCAGCCTGTCCGCAAGCCCTGTATGCAAAGAGGAAAAACAACTAAACATGGGCAAATGGCTTCTAAGAAGTCCAGAGGCAAAATGTCATATTCATTCTTTGTGCAAGCTGCCAGGAGAAGCACGAGTAAAAGCCTGCTGCTTCAGTCAGCTTCTCAAGAGTTTAAGAAGAATTGGGAGAGGTGGAAGACCAAGTCTACTCAAGAAAAAGGCAAGTTTGAAGACGTGGCAAAGGTGACCAGGCCTGTTATGAAGGAGAAATGAAAACCTGTATCTCTCTGAAAGGGGAAGCAAAAGAGTTTTTTTGGTCCCAACATATTCAAGAGGCTTCCTTTGGCTTTCTTGTTCTGAGTATCAGCCCCAAATCAAAGAATATCCAGCCTCACCCACTGTGAGTTTGCAAAGTGTGTGGACCAACAGTGCTGCAGATGACAAGCAGACTTAGGGAAAGAAGGCGGCTGAGTTGAAGGAAGACTATGAGAAGGATATTGCTGTCTACAAAGCTAAAAGAAAACGATGCAGTGCAAAAGGAACTTGTCAAAGCTGGAGAGAGCAAAGAAAAGAGGGAAGAGGAAGATGAAGAAAAAGATGATGAACAAGTTGGTTCTACTGCAGGTTCTTTTATTTTTTGTCTATAAAGCATTAACCCCACTCTAAACAACTCCTTTTAAAGAAAAACAAATTAAAATTAAGGTTGTGTA